CTCTACCTTTCTCCCCCAAACCAAAATAAACTTTGAGTACTTCCACTTCGATCCTGTCATTCCCTATCTATAATTATTTCCATCTTGATTTGCTTTAACTGGGCATTGCTACTATTTCATATCACTAGCTATTTAAAAACCTTCAATCACAGTTTGTATTTCTGGTTGTTAGCTAACCATTCCCGAGCCTAAACCTTGTTGAGGCCATTTTCATTCTTCTGGAAATATATCCTTCAGTGATCTTTAATGAGGTCTGCTAACAGCAAGCCCCGTCCAGTTGTGTGTCTTCAGATAGTCCTGCACTCTTACACCCTTGAGAAAGATGCTTTTGTCAGGCATAGACACTAGGGTAAATTCTCTCCACAGCTGAGAAACCATTCTACTGATTTCTAGGACCTTGATACTGTAGAGCAGTCAGCTACCAGACTGATAAAAATGATCTTGTGAGAAACCTATCTTATCTCTTGGATGTTTAGAAGATCTTCTGTTTGCTTCTGGTGTTCTACAGTCTCGCTGGGAGGTATCTGTGCATGAATATCTCTTTTTATCTGCTTCATTCTTTTGTTTCCAGAACTTATTTATCCTAAGACTGTTAGCTGAGTATTGCTCTCTTCCATAAAGTCTGGGACATTCCTAGCTTATTCTATCTCCCCATTTTTCCTTAGTCCTTTGGGTTCCACTTTGATGGGTACTGGAGCTTCTCTTTTTATGCTATCCTTTTCTTTATTGCTATCTCTCCTTAATTACAGCTCAGCTTTTTGTTTGTTTGGAGTTTTTGTTTTGCTTTGTTTTTAATTAAAAGCTCAGCTATGCATACAATGGAAGGGAGGCAAGGGGAAGGGAGAAGACTAGTGGGAATTGGGAGAGAGAAGAGTACATGGTTGAAGTCCATGATATACTTCAAATTTTAAACTTCTCTTTTTGAAGTAATTTTAGACTCACAAAGAGTTGCACAAGTAGTACTGTAGCTCATAAATACTTTCTCCTGATTCCTAAAATGCCAATGTTCTAGCAATGGTAGTATAACAAGCAAACATAAGACCCTGACTTGGAGCTCCAGATCTTACTCTACGGCCTTCCCTGCAGTCCTCATATTCACACTGTCCTGCTAAGTCCATTTTCTGCTCCAGCTCCATATACTGTTTTACTTGCCCGTGTCTTCCCATTCTCCATTCTCAGAACGGTCCTCTGCCTTTCCTTGACTTTCACAACCTTGATACTTTTGAAGATTCAGGTCTTTTTGTACTGTGTCCTTCATTTGGGACTTTTTCTGATTTTTTTTCTAATTATTAAATTCAGAGAAATGTATTTGGGGACAAGTATTTCACAGATGTAGTAATTATGTTCTTTTTGTGCATTCATTCCATCAGATGCCAGATGCTATATTACTGGTAATGGTACTCTGATCACTTGGTTATGATGGTATAACCTCCGGTCTTTTCATATCCCTTGCAATTTCTACCTCTTGGCCTATTTCACTCTGCTTATTTTTCTTTGTATTTGTAGTTTATGCATGTGTATGGAAGTGTGTGCATCTGAGTGTAGATTCACCCCTTGCATGGGTGTATGAAGATCAGAGGTCATCCTAAGTGTCTTCCTCTACTGAATTGCCACCTTATTTTTTGAGACAGGATGTCTCAATGAATTTAGACTGGCTAGCCAGCAAGCCACTGGGGTCCACTGAGATCTGCCTGTCTCTGCCTACTTCCTTCCCTGGCTGTTACACAGTGCTAAGGACCCAAACTGAGGTCCAAAAGTAGTTGCTGTGAAATCTACCCACTGAGCCATCTTTTCAGCCAATTTAGTTGGTCTATGTTAGTTGGTGTTTTGCTTATTTTATTTTACTAATTAGTGTATGTCTAATTTTATCCAAAATGTTCTGACCAACTCTATTTTTCACTTTACTATATTTAAATTTATTCTTTTATTTAATACATTTTATCTTTTGTAGATGACAATTCAAATATCAACAGTATCAAAGTCTGATTTTGTAAATTATTTTTTGAGACAGGGTCCCATGTAGTCCAGGATGCCCTCTTAAGTTGCTTTGTAGTCAAGAATGATCTTGAACTTCTAATTCTCCTGCCTCTACCTCCTAAATGCTAGGGTTATAGGAGTGTGACACCATGTCTGGTTTACGTGGCAGGGCCTTGGGCATGCTAGGTAAACCCCCTACCAACTGAGCTACATTTCTAGCAATCTTTTTTATTTTGAAACATGGTCTTGCTAAGATGTCAGGATTGCCCTTGAACTCAGTCTGTAGCCCAAACAGACCTGGAACTTGTGATCTTCCTGCCTTGCCTCCTGTGTAGCTAAGATTACAGACTTACACCACCAGGCCTGATTCATACAGGTTAGCTATTTCCTGCTGCCCAGAGTCTGTATTTTTATAGACCACCCAGTTGGGCCAACTCCTTGAATTCCATGCCAAAAATAGCTAGATCCTTTCTGCACCATCCATAAAACATCAATAAGGTTAGAAAAATTAATTCAGTTAAATTTGTTTAATTTATTTTCTTTTTCTGTGTGATGACTATATAGTAACCCAAAACTCTTCAACAAAGTTCATTTTGTTACACATTACCTTTTATAAATTCTTTTACTTTAGATAGAAGGTATTTTTATATTTTATCACCAATACTTTGAGGAAGTATTTGTTTTGTTTTGTTTGTTTTAGGGTTTGTTTTGTTTTTGTTTTTTGTTTTTTGAGACAGGGCTTCTGTCCTGGAATTCACTCTGTAGAAGAGGTTGGCCTCAAACTCAAAGAAATCTGCCTCCCAAGTGCTGAGACTAAATGTATACACCCCCACTGCCAGGCCAGAGGGTATTTCTCAAGGTATACGTGGCAAATTGTTGTGTTTTTTTCACATGGGCCATAACAAGGCACAAAAGGACTCATCTACACTGTACATCTGAAACACTGTAATTAATTTTATGGCATATGATCTTACCAAAAAAGAGTTTAAGTTCCTAAATTAATATTTTTTAGAAATCTCTAGTTAAACTATCCATTTGTTTGGCCAAATTTAATTCAGTGGCATTCAAGAAAATTTAAATAGAGCTCATAATCTGAACCAATTAAAACATAATAGAAATTACTTAAATTTTCTTGTTATTGTTTTAGAGAGGAATTCTTATGGCTTTTTAAAGATTTATTTTATATGTACAAATTTTATTCCCATATATGTCTGTACATCATGTGTGTGCCTCATGCCTGAGGAAGATCCTCTGGAACTGGAATTATGGACATCTGTGAGCCACCATGTGAGTGTCGGGACTTGAACCCAGGTCCTTTATAATTACTGAGCCATCTTTCCAGCTCTGTTGCTTTTTTGTTTGTTTTATAGGGTAAGAGATTGTGAGTGAGTGAGAGTGTGTGAGTGTGTGTGTGTGTGTGTGAGAGAGTGAGAGAGAGAGAGAGAGAGAGAGAGAGAGAGAGAGAGAGAATGTTTCTGGACTGTTCTAGAACTATCTTCTAAGTAGAACTGATAAGGGACATCTGGGAACATCTTCGCCTCTGGCAGACTCCATTCAGCAGGTGAAGAGACTGAAAACAATGGGGCCAATCAAAAAATGCTCCTAAATAATGCAAACCTTAGTTCTCAACATCTGGTTATGCAACAGGTTTCAGTCTTGGAATCCCTGTTGTTCTCCAAGCTTTGATGTTTCTGGCTTATGCCAATATTGTCTAGAAGAAACAGTTTTCTGCTTTTACGAGTTTTGCAGCCAGTTTTGTCTTTTTTCCTTCCTGGTATTTGGAGACATACCAAAGTGTTAAGAAACTTCTGTTTCCTCAAATCTTCCAGCTCTTCTGTCTTGTACTCTTCTTCAACTTAAGCTTTTAAACATATTTTAAATTTTGAAGTTTTTAGTATTCCCACAGCCTGTCACTCTGTTCCCTAAGCCTCATGGAAAAAGATCTCAGCTGGTTGCTCTTCAGGATTTTCAAACATCTTAACTCTTTCCCATTCTTAAATTCCCCTTTTTGTGCTAGCCATTTAATTCTTTTCTGAATACAAATCTTCTTGATAAAAGGGGATTGCTATCTGTCTCTTCATTTCATAATGGATTCATCTACTGTGGAAATGAGAATCATTTGATGGGTGTGAAGATCATTAAATTCACAAAATGCTTCCACCAACCCCATCCTACCCTCTTACAGCATAGTCTAATATTCACTTGTTCACTAAATGCCATGTGCAAAGCCTCCCAGGATTGATTCTTTGCTTCTGTTTGTTCAGGAATATGAATATGATTTTATAAGAATATGTTTAGTGTCTTCCTGAGTTCCCAGCACAGAAGTCATAAAACTCTTGGGATTTCCTGACTGATGAGGAAATACCTTTAGAAAAAACAAACAAAACAACAACAACAACAAAAATCCTTTCCAGCCACACCTGAGCCTATGGAAATGAGGTAAATCATGAAGGAAAGAATCCAATTTGCCAGGATTTCTAACCATTGATTAGTGAGTTGGAATTTTCAGTCTTATTCCCTACCTCCAAGGATAGGAAAGAGTTAAATCACCAAAGGCCAATAGTTTCAACATCACACCAGTGTAACAACACCTCCACAAACCAATTTCCCACACTTCCCACATGGTAAACCAGTATCAGAATTCAAGGTTCAGGTTAGTCCCTGGGTTTTTCCTTATCACTCAGTCATTTAACAGAAAAATGTTCTGTTCACCTATAATATGCCATGAACTATAATGCTAAGGAACTCACATTCCCAGCCACATTCTGCTGTTCACACTCTGCTGCTCACACTGTCACTATCACACTCATCATGTTGAGCTATCCCTTAACATGGTTCTCTTCCCAGCTCCATCCTGTGATCATGAAGGCATTTGTCTCCTGTCCAATTATTCTTTACACATCTAGAATGCTGATTTTTGTTCAAAGCAAATGAGTTTTCCACTTGCTTACAAGTAAATCTAAATAGTAGCAATAACTAGCATTTAAATTTTAGTTTTCATATCCAAACACTTGAATACTCACCTCATGGGCCCATAGTTCAGCATTATAAATGCCAACACAATCATCACACAGACAGCTCTTCGCTTTGGACTCGGGACTTTAAGCCTCTGGTTCTAAAGAAAATGAAATAGGATGAAACTACATGTCAACATTCCAAAGAGCAGTAACTAAGAGTCCTTTTTATAAGGTGTATGACTACCTTTTCTCATAAAAGAAACAGAAAAATAAAAATAAAAAACCTCAAAGGTAAAGAAAGAGTACTTTGCAGAAGACTAAAACCTTCCACATTCTCTTTTCCAACAGAGTAAAGAATTTTAAAAGAACAAATTGGCACAAGTTTTAGCTTTATATTTCTGTGGGTACTTGAGAATTCTGAGACATTTCTGTCACTTGTCTCCCTACTTTCAAGGCTGTCTTCACCAACCCACTAAAGCATTCTCACATACTCAGAGGCAGGATAGTAAGGACACCCCTCCCCGACCCCCAGAGAAAAATATCTTCAAAATTTCACGGTTGTAATGTTTTTCCTATCATAAATATTTTTGTGCTTACTGCATCCCCATTTTCTTAGCGCTATTATTTTATATGATTTAAAAGGTAATTATCAATTTACTTATCAAAAAGAAAAAAAAAAGTCAGTTTACACCCACCTCAGCCAGCTACCTCACCAGCACTCACCTCTGACACCACCTCGTCCAGCTGTCGCTTCAGGGACCCGTTCTCCTTCTTCAGTTGCTCGTTCTCTGAGAGCGCAGCCTTCAACCTGGCCTCCAGTCCCAGCATATACTCCTTCTTCTTCTTGCGTGACTGACAAGCAGACTCACGATTTTTTATCATCCGCTGCTGTCTCCTTAGCACAGCAATCTAGGAAAAGTTATAAGTTACACGGAATTATCCAACTGGTTTTGTGACCACATCAAATATCAAAACCTGCTGATTTCTCAAATTATTGCTAAACAACCTTATTCAAATATATGTTAGTGACTATTTTAAAACATATTTTAATTATACTGCTCAATTGAAGTAAACTCAATCAAATGAGTAAAAGGCTCTCTCAAACCTAGCCGCTGGTGCATTCTGAAGCACAGTGCTGAGCACCTAACCTTCCCTTCAGAAACTCCCCAGAAAGCTCCTCAAAGGAGCTATGTGAGTGGCTCACACTGAAAATCCTAGGACTCTAGGAGGTTAGGGCAGGAGGACTGAAGCATTAGGAAGGTTGAAAACCACTGCAAAACAATTTCTGGATTACTTAATCTAGTACAATGTAAGCAGTTGTTATGCTGTAGCAAAGTTCTAGACATTTATAGTATGGGTGCAACTTTCTTTTTCTATTTTCTACCTCAGAATGTTGAATCTATAAATGCAAAATCCATGGATATGAAGGGCCAAATATACATACTGCCTTAATCACCACTGCTGGTGAGTTCCCAAACCTTAGATCCAATTACTCAGAAGATTACTTCTCATGCAGAGTTGTTCTCAGTGCCTTTTCTCAGTAATACCTACCTCTCAAAATACACAAGAAGCTAGGCTTGTAATCCGAGCACTCTAGACTACAAACAGGAGTGTTGCTAGCTCAAAGCCAGCCCATATGAGAGATTGTCTCAGAACAAACACACAGATAAGAACAACAACAGCAAACCTACAAAAACACAGGAAGAAGTAACCATTATCTTTTTATTCTATATATTTACTGCCTCTGGTACGGAGATATCCACCCCACCCGCACCAGTAGTGCTGCCCATGCCTGTTTGGGCGTGGTCACAGGTGACGACATGAGGGGGAGTGAGTTTAGGTCTGTGCTCTGGGAGGTGGCTCTCTCTTGCCTCCCTCAGGTCAGAGAGCAGCTTATGTAGATCCTTAAGAGCTGGAACCTGTGGCGGCCATCGGCTTCTTGTGTAAGTGACTTCTCCCAGAAATAAATTATATTTAAACCTATAACGTCTCCCTCTATTATGGTATCTCTTATTTTGCTCTCCTCTATTTTTCTCCGACTCAACCTTCCTGCTCCCTCATGTCTGAAAGCCCCCTGCCCCTTAGCCCTTTCTTTCTCAAGTTTGTCTCCTCCTCCTCCTGTCAGCGGCTTCCCCGATCCCCACCCCCGGCGGCCTCCACTTCCCCCGCCACCCGCCCCCAGCCCCGCCCCCAGGCCAGCCCCCGG